CCCCCCCCCGGCAAGACTTCGAGCCCAGAAGTGCTACTTCTTGCTGGGTGCGGGGCACCAGCGCGCCACCTGCCCATCGCCTAAGCTGAGAGTGCTGTCTCTCCGGGGGGGGGGCACATGCACCCCCATACACCCTCTACCCATCACCTATGCCTAGGCGGATTCTAGAGATCCTTTCATGGTAGGATTTTTGCAGTAGCTGAAACATGCTAAGGAAGTCCTGTAAGGAAGGCAGGTATGTTTTTTTTTGCCTTTTCACACAGAGGTAAATGGATATGTAGGTTGATTTCCTAAAGCTGGTGGCAGAACCACCTGTAGAACCTACGAGTCCTGACCCTAAACTCTTTTATCTTATGCTTTGAGGAATGGCTCTGGAATGAATACACCGAGTAATAAAATACAGGCTTGTAATTTGAAGGGTTTTTTTCTTATTCTTCATAGATATGAAAATAATATTTACTCATGCTTGGCTTTGTTTTTTATTAGATCATAAATTACTTGAAGTAATTCTGATTTTTATTAGTCTCATGTCACTAGCTTCATATTTAACCCTCAAAAAAACTTGTTTAGATTAAACTGATTTATTTTAGGAAGCTGTGCAATAATTTGACATTGACTTAACTGTTTTTTTTTTCCTATACTGTAAATATGACTTCTCTTTCTCTTCCCCCCCCCCCCCCCCCCCCACCTTTTTTTAGGCTTCTTTAGGTACAACAAAATACTGCAGTTATTTCCTAAAGAATATGCAGTGTCCAAAACCAGACTGCATGTATCTACATGAGCTGGGGGATGAAGCAGCCAGTTTCACAAAAGAGGAGATGCAGGTAGATACACGGAGAGGAACATTCTCTTCAGAATGTAAAAGGCTACTTGACAAGTTGGATGTAGCTGGTGGTGCAATTGGCTACATTTCTTTTATGTATGGTGCTTCTGTGGGCTCAGAAAAGGAATTCCTCAATAGATGGAAAGTCAATGGGATTGTAAGAACGTTTAAATGGCGGTTTTAGGAAAAACTCCTGATTACATCTTCTGCACCTGATGAAAAGGGTGCTAAGTAGCTGCAAGAGTACAAAGATGCTATGAGTGTAACTGTGCTACAGCAGAATATTTCTGTAAAGGTACAGCGTTTGTTACAAATGTCTCAGAAAAGTGTTTTATTTAAAGAGGGAGAGAATAAGGAGGTCTCTCTCTGTCCCTGAAAGCTGATAACTAGCTTCAAAGTGATCTTTGAAGGATTGTCTTTTTGAGTCTGGTTCAGTGTAGTGTGTAAGTGGCATGAGTGCAAAATAAGTTTGTCTCCTTTGGAGAAGTCTAAAGGTTTGTGTTAACAAGTGTGACGTCATGTATGTAATACCAATTGAAGTGTCTGTGCACTTGTGAAAGTGGTGGATGTACTGACTTTGAGTGAACCTTAATAGGATACTGTTTGGAGACTATTTTAAATGAGGCAATACTTTTGCTGCTTAAACATGTAAGGCTAAAAAATTGCTTTTTAGTTAAGTTGTGAGGTAATATTCCTCTGAGGTCTTGGCACTGAATAAAATTAAATTTACTAGCGTCTTAGCTTTCTTCATTGTGCCAAAAACTAAGTGGTCTTCTGAAACTGTGAATTAGTATTAAGTGTATATTTACGATTTTAAAAGGGTGGGGAGTTTTCTTCAGCAGTAGATACTATTGGCTGTTATATCTTTTTCTGTTGTGCTTGTTATAGTGTCTAGGAATGCTGCATGCAATGAATGGCAGTTAAATTCATTTCTTCCCACTTGCAATTATAGATGTTAGACAACATTAACTATTTAAAATTAAAATGATGGTGGTAGGTACTAAAATTTAAGTTGCAAAAATTGTATTTTGTGATATCAGATTCCTTCAATTAGCTGTTGAAACACGAGAGAAGGAAAAGCAGAGTCTTAATATTTAGCATGAATCCCTTTCAGTTGCCAGTCACTTTTACGTAACTTTTGAAACAAAGCCACACTGCATTGGGTTCTGAGTAAACTTCAAAAAAACCATCCTAAGCATATTCTGCTAACATAAATAGTTCTGAACTGAAAGAATCAAATGTCTCTACCCCCTCCAAAAAGCCACTCTCTCTGCAGTGTGAACAATTCCAGGTTGAGAAATCTTTCCCCAATTTCTGAAAGTAATATATTTCTCTCCCTCTAGTACTTCTGCCCAAAAATCTGCTTCTTTCATTGAACAGCTCCCATTCAACCAGAGTTTTCATGCAACTTAATAGTAGCAGTGTAATTGCTTTTGAAATAGTCCTTGAAATTCAGGAGTTTGCAACAGGAAAGGAATTCTGAAATGAAGAGATGTTGTTTCTCCTCTTTCCTTTTCTACCCTTAAATAGCTTAATCTGGTTGGGAGATGTAAAATGCAAACTTCCTTTGGAAATTTGTTTAGTTTTATTTGGAAGGTATCCTAGTGGTTACACCTTATTCTCCAGTTCAAGTGAAAGGCTTCAGCAAATTAACTTCCAAAGCAGAGAAATTGTCAGAGGGGAAGGGGAGTGGGGGAGGATAAATTTTGCTTTCAGAGCAGCTAGTGGATTGCCAGATTTAGCCAGCTAAGTGAGCCTGTATGTGAGCCTCAGACTGCCTGGAACAACCTCTTGACTGAGATTGAAGAGCACCAATTTGAATTTATTTAAGCAAAACCTTAGTATATGCCCAAGATGTTTTAAACACTTATTGTTAGGGGAAAGGAGTATGTGCTTATAATCCAATGCCATCTGCATTTAACTTTTTTCCCAGGCGGGTAAACACCAGGAATATGAACAGAAGCTACTGCAAGAATTGTACAAACTAAATCCCAATTTCCTCCAGCTGTCTACGGGTACAGTTGACAAGAACAAGAACAAAGTGACAGCACTGCAGAGGTATGATGCGTAAGTACTGATGCCAGGCTGGCTGGCAGCACTTTCCTTTTAGCTATCTCTTAATTCCTTGTTTCGGTATGCACCCAAACTCTTACTACTGCAGTAGTATGTGAATCAATATTGTTAATTGGCAAATATTTCATGTCTGTCTTTGCGATAAGAGGGTGATCTGTGCTGTTACAGCTGAAGTGTCCAAGTGATTTTACGTGTTTGGTGTATAACACATTTTGATTAGATTTGGATACTAAACTTCAGGTAATTCAGTGCTGGGGGTGTGGAATGAGCTTTTAATTCTTTCCCTCTGAAAAGATAGCAAAGCAAAGATACTTTGTTGTGCCTAGGAAACATAGTGGTGCCTCTTACTTTGATTACTACATCTGTTTTTGAGGGAGAAGGGTGCAAGGAGGAAGGGTCTCTTTGAAAAAGCTACTTGATAGCTTTTATCTGCTTGGTAAAAATGTTAAATTTAAGATAGATACTTGGGAGTTATTAGCAATTTTTATTTAAAAAAGCACCTTCATACTGAGGAAAAAACATAAAAATATATACATTATTATATATAGTGCTTTTGATCCAGGATTTGAGTCTGTTTTGGGTCAGTTCACCAACTATTGAAATGAATGTTGACAGAAGTTTGCTATTAGCAGCAACGTTGCACTACAGCTTAAAAGGAAGAAATACTGTATACAGGGAAACTGCTAGGGGGGGTACCACAGCTGGAATTTAACTAGGATGCTTGGATAATCTACCCCTGCTCTTGCAGGAAGTGTCATGATTTTTAATGACTGGAAGTGATCAGGACCTCCAGTTTTACCTTGTCTGAAAGACTGCGGTACCTTGTTGTGCCTTGGGCACTGGTTCATTACTGACTCTGTAGAAATTTGCTGCTAAGTAAAATTTAAACACCACTTCCTGCAGTATTCAGTGGTTGATGGTTTTAAATCCAAGGTCTAAACCATCTCTGCTTGACTTGAAACTTGATGGGATGTCTAGCACACGATGACAGAATACAGGGAGTAAAGAATTGCTCTTTGAAAATGCAACACAGATTTGAGTCATTAATAAGCATCTCTGATTGTTGAAATCTGGTATACCAGTGCTTCATCCTGGCATTTATTAAAAGTACCATGATACTTTCATGACTGCAAATGGTCTGAATTTTAATTATCTGAATGACCCCACCACATACAAATTTGGGTTAATACCGACTCCAGGAGCACTGTCTCGAGTTGACAGTGCAGTTTCCTCCTCCACCAATGGGATTTTGAATCCATTTAAACACTGATTGATACTTGTTGTATGCAACTCAAGCTGGTAAAACTTGACTTGTCTGTTCTATTTTAATGAAAATGGCTAACTCCCCAGCTTTCTGCTATGTGATCAGCTTCTCATTTATGTCTTATTCACTGGTATACCACTACCTTTCTCATGCTAGGCTGAATTTAGAATCTAGTGCCTCAACATATTTCATAACTGAGTTAGAATTACAGTTTTCACTGTGAGATCAAGCAGAATCTGAGCTGCAAGGGCTCCATATTTATATTCAAATACAAACTTCCATTAATAGCAGAGGACATGGATAATTACTGGTAAAGACCACTGTTATTCTCCCTGTTCCCCCCCTGCCAGGTTTGTTCCTGTTTGAAGTCCCTTTTTGCACTGTTTCTCTTCCCCCCATCCCCACTCCCTTCCCCACTTGTACTAAAGGCAGATGCTGAAATTTCTGCCTGTGTTTGTATGTCTGTACAAGTATCTCTTGGCATATCCTTCCATAGTTATGCAGTCATAAGTATAGCTGCATACATAGAATCTACAAATGAGAACTAATTCAAAGTTGGGTCCTGATTGGTATCAGTGGGTAATTAAAACGTTGTGGGACTTTTTTTCCATTTCCATATTTTGTTTGTGTCTTAAGGACCAAAATTCCTTATTATATGAAGATGTTTCCATCATGAGTATGTAATGAATGAGGATTACTGGTCCATGTGGAAAATGACTCTTTTTGTAGCTATCATAAGAACTTTCACATTTTTCTTTTGCTGCTTTTTGCCATTTTATTGAGGCAAGATACCAGTTCTTATTCTGGACAAAACTTCAAATAAATTCCATCCTAGTAGTGATTTTTGGACTAAGGGGGTACTTAATCTGTTAGTCTTTTGTTAATTCTATTTTTTTCAGAAATGCACCCAACATTAAGGTGTCCTAGTAGATTCAAATTATGGTTCAAATTTTTTTGTGGCTGGGAGAGATTGGGGAATGGTGAATAAATTGTCACATGCCATGAAAGGTTTTTTTTTTAATTGATCATTTGATGAGAAGGATTTTAAAAAGGATGCCTTTTTTCAACTTCTCTTAAGGTGTGTAGAGTGAAGATGAGATTGTGTACATAATTGAAAGATTTCACCTGGTTTATAGGTGTATGTAGGAACTGATGCCTAGAGCAGGGTAGTTGAAAACAAAATGGAATATTTTCCAATAACATATGTGGACAACTACTATTGTATTCAAAGATAAATGAATAAGACTTGAAGTTCTACTGTAGCAACAGACTGGCTTAATTTCATATTAATCACTTATGAAGCAGACCAGAAAGAGGCTCAGACTCTTGGCTTTCTTTTAAAAATGCACATGGTACTGGAAATGTTTGTACACTGAGCACTTGCTTGCCTCCAAATGGGATGCTGTTTTTCAAAGTTGGGCGGGCAGATAAATAAAAAAAAACCGAAGGTAGAAAACATGGGATTTAAGATTTGTGGTATATGCTGACAACAAAAATATTGACATTTAAGTGTATCTATATGGAGAGAAATGAAAACTGGCTGAAATATTGCCTTCTGACAATATGCCTCCCTACAGCAATAGCTAACTTCCTTTGAGGTCCTCTTTCCAGATCAACTATACTCTGGATTGAAGCCTACTTGACTTTCATTTTAATCTTAAAAAAAAAAAAAAAAAAAAAAAAAGTTGGGCAAATAACTTGGATAGGCTGTTCTAAAATGAGGTGCCCTGGCTGGCCTCATGGTCTGTTGATGATGCTATGGACTGTCATACTGGCAATCAGATTCAGTTTACACTCTCAAGTCAGCCTAGGAAAATCCTTGGCCATATGTCGGGGATGTAGAAGATCTACTGTACCACAGTAGGTGGCAGTTCATGATTAAGAGAACTGGTGAATACTTCTGGGATAATGTGAAGACATTAAGTTGGAGCAAGTCTATAGATTTTTTTTTTTTTTTTTTTAATATCTGAAGCTGTCAAAATGGATTTTTGCAAATGAACATGTTTGGACTCCATTGTCGGTGACCCAGTTACCTACCTAATCACTGGAGAAAATGGAGAGTTCTTCCCATTCTTTTCTTGCCAAGGAGGCTTTTTATTCATCAGCCTTAAAATCTGTGAGAGCTGCCCAGATTATTCCATTCTTATGGTCTGTCTGGCATGAGGATTCATTTCCTCAGTGTTTAAAACTTTTTTTAAACACTTTCTTTATAACTTGAACTCTTTTTTATTTTTTTTAAAACTTTTTTTTTAAATTTGACTCTTTTTTTTTTTTTTTTTTTTTTTTTTTTTTTTTTTTACTCTTGCTTTTTTCCAGACCCAACAGTAATAACAAAGATGCCTGGCCATCATTACAGAGTTCAAGTAAATCAGCCAACGGTTTAACAATGGAACACAGGAAAACGCCTCCTATATTAGAAAATGGCACAGACCCAGAACACATGACTCCAGATGGTGCAGACTCAGATTTCGGGTAATTGTGCTGCCTTTTATACTTCAGCTAGCTTTCTTTCTCTCTCACTAATTGGTGTGGAGGGATGATTCTCCAGTCTCTCTGGTTGGAGAGCTGGATTTAAATCCTGATCAGGTCACAAATGAAGAAATGAGTTTCAGCTCAGCCTTGCCTGTGTCAGAATACTGCTTCGTTGGCAGTTTGTTCAAGAGACCCATAGGCACCAAATAGTAGATGATGGTACAGGCAAGAACTAAGACGTGTTGACAGAACTATGGGCATAGGAAGCTTCCATAGCTGTCCACAGCATAGTCTTAGCCAGAGCTAAGCGCCATACTTGTCTGAATGAATATAAAAATTCAAGGACAAAACAGGGTTTTTTTAAATAGTTCATCAGGAAGCCTTTTAACTGATTGTTTTTGAGAAGTTGGCTTGTGATGAATAAAGTGGTAAATGCCAAACTGATCATTTTAAATTCCATCTCTTCACCTTGATGTGTTCTAGGTAGCTTATGGCAGTAGTCAAGTTTTCATGTACTAACATGAATCGCAGCACACTAGATTCCACTGAAATTGCTTTGTTTGGGCAGAGGAAGTAATTCATTCCATGAGTGACACTTTCCCTGCTTCCAATTTTTTCTTCTTTCAATATCCCCTGCATTTCTTTAGAGTGCTGTTGACATTCACTTCCCATCATATATCTTGGGCAGATCTTACTGTATCTTGCAGTTATATTGCATTAAATTCTGATTACACTAAATCTTCCTTAGCTATGCTGAGCTGGATTATTCAGAACTTAGATGGGACGACTCTGAAAACCCAGAGTATTGCAGGATGTGGTGTTCCTGATTCAGAACCTAACGTTCTTTTTAAGTTAATATTGAACCAATGCCTTAACAAGGTGAATAAGGATCATTGTATTGCTGAAGGTGCCACTTCTTATTGAAAATTAAGAGGAGTCCCGCTTAGCTATGGTCAGAAATCCTGTGCCTATTTTACCCAAGAGTAGAAATACCAACAGAAGTTGTGGCAAATGCCAGATAATTCTGCATCTAAACTTCCCCCAGTTCTAGTTACCTCAGGTGTTCATAGTTTAATTCGAGTGGTGGTTCTACATATAGCTGAATAGTAGCTATGTTGCCCCCCAGATTTGGTTGTATTTCAATAATGAGCGATATTTAAGATGTTGTTCCATCTTTCTTGATGGAACACATTACATGAGAATGTTAAAACAGTGACCCATGAATAACAAGCGTTATTTGTTCATGTTACCTGAGCTTCTAAAACCTACTCGGCATTTAACTTAATCTCTTTATGTAGCTCCCAAGTATAATCTGTGTTGGTTTTGGTACTCCGATTGCCATAAGCAGCCATATTGTTGCTACTTGAAGCCAAGTATATGATTTGTTAACATTTTGTAGGACTGAGGTTCTAGTTAAATCTTTCCCTTATGGAAGGCTGAATGCTTTATGAAGGGCTTGCAACAGAATTATTGCTCTGTAGTTGGGCCATAGCACACATGGTAGCATGCTAATATGGGAGCATTTACTTTTAAAGCAATTGAACGTACTCAACTGTAGAGTGAAATTAATTTTTAAGGGACTTCCAGTTGAAACAGACTTACAAAAGACTGGTGACTCTCTTTTTTGCCCTAAAAGATTTTAAGTAATTGAGGCTCAGTTCTAATACTGAATGTAAGGTGATGGTTAACCAACGGGCACAGAAATTGCTGCTGTTCTTCAGTACTCTGACTTGCACATAATCAGAGTGGAAGAAAGAATAAACTGTTCTAAGCCTAGGCCACTAATTCTTTACTGTAAAAAGAAAAAACAAATAATATCAAATGATTAAGTGACTACAGCATAAAGTATTCAGACTTCACAGTACCAAAATGCATGGACACTTCAGTTGGGTTTAGAGAGCTGCACTAAATGTTAATTATTTTATTGTACTTGGTACAAAAATAATACAAATTAATGTCCTTTAGATGATGCTGTACATTGAACTGTGAGCTTGTAATTTTCATAAGCTCATCATGTTAGTTCTGACCTCAAGGCAAATGTTTATGGCTGCTCAGCTGGACATTCACTAGACCACTGCATCCACTGGAGTGGATAAGATGAAAGCCCAAAAGCTGCATTACAGAGACTTGGTGGGCCTACCATAATGCCTTTAAACTAGATAATTGGTACACTTATGGCTGTCAAAATGCCTACTAGAATGGCTGAGGTTGTGTTTTACAGGAAACAACTTTACTCTTGACTTAACAGAATATTGTAGTGGTGTATTTTTTCTTAAGTTTTATTTATTATTTCCATTGCCTCCATCTTCTTTCTCTGTATTACCATTTTTTTTTAAACTTGTGCACTCAGATTTTTCCCGTTTCTCGGAGACTGAACTCCCTTTTGTTTTTAGTAGTTCCTCTGACAATATCGTGCCGCTGGCAATTCAGCTTTAAGCAAATCTCAAACTGCAGATGCCACCAGATTCCTTCTTTTAAATCTAAAGGATATCACTAGTATTTAAGGTGGTTGCTTGTACCTCTTTCTAGCACTAAATGCATTTGGTGGTGCTGAGGATATTATTCACTGGTCATTGAAATAGCAAAACTGAGGCACCAGATCTGTTTTTATGGAATGTGCAGGACTTAGGGATAATATACTTAAGATTGAAAATGGGTACAGTACTGCAGTAACACAAGAATCCTATTGTTTGAGTGGCCTAGCATAGGACTGACCAACTTGGTAGCACACATGCTACAAGTCACATGAGTAGCTTCTATGTGGCACACAGCAGATGAGGGAGGGGACAAGCAGCACAGCAGCAAACAGGGGAGGAAGCAGAAAGAGCAGTGAATCGGGCAGGGAGCCCAGGGCAAGAAGCAACACCCCTCCCAACCCCCCCTTCCACAAAAAAACAGCAGCTGATCAGGTAGGGAGCCACAAGGCAGGGAACAGAAAAGGAGAACAGCAGGTTGGGGAGGGGAGGAGATCTGGGTAGCACTTGGGACAGGTGCAGGGCTAATTTGTGGTACACCTGCGAAAAAGGTTGACCCCCACTGGCCTAGAGAACATTCTGAACACTTTAAATCTTTTGGTTTGTTGCTCCACAGGAAAAAAGGAACAAGCAGAGTGGATTATGAAAGTAAATGGGTGGATTTTCCTTCATCACCTTCTGAAATTTGGTTTTGTGTGGTCTTTAGTGGTATAATACTCATGAAATAATCTGTTTCTGTGTACTTTGGTGATTCTCTTGGTTGCATACATCTTACTTGATTTTTTTTTTTCTTTTCTTTTCTTCCCCTCCCTTTCTCCAGCCCTATCGACAAACCTACAGATTCTCTCAGTATAGGAAATGGTGACAACTCACAGCAGGTATGGTTTGAAAGTATAACAGATTCAGTTGATTTAGTTCCATAATACGGAAGCCCAACTGCAAGCTGTCTTTTCAGAAGCAGATGTTTTATGAAATATTAATTTGTTATGCAAGTTTTATCTGATAACTGATAGCTAACTTTAAAATGTTGTTAAAAAACAGTCTGCTTCTAGCTCACTTGACACTGAGTGCTCAGAGGACTAGTATTTAATCAGACCCCCTCTCCTCAGTCTTTAACCTGAATTTTTTTAAAGGTGCTTAAATAAAGAATACATAACTTAAGTGTAAAGATACATATCTTGTTTTCTCTCTTCTCCTTTGCCACTAGATATCAAACAGTGACACACCTTCACCACCGCCTGGTTTATCAAAACCCAATCCAGTTATACCCATCAGTTCATCCAATCATAGTGCACGGTCTCCCTTTGAAGGGGCTGTAACAGAGTCACAGTCGCTCTTCTCAGACAACTTTCGGCATCCCAACCCCATCCCAAGTGGGCTTCCCCCATTTCCCAGCTCTCCGCAGACTTCCAACGATTGGCCAACAGCACCAGAACCACAGAGCCTCTTCACATCAGGTATGAGAGTGGTTTAGTTACTAGGATCCTTTTTTTGCTGCTTTTTTTCTTTCTTTTTTTCTGATGGCTATAATGACGTGGAAATAGAACTACTACTGTAGTTGCTTCCCAAGTACATTATCTGCTTGTTCTTTAAAAGTGATTTATATTTTAATACTTATTGTGCATTTCAAATATCCTGTATTTTTAAGAAAAATATATCAATACAACTTGCTGAAACCATGTTTAATAATGTGTAGCTTCTGCCTACACAAGCGTGGAATGGTATGTAAGGTGGGGGTTATTAATTTTGCCTTTGGTCACCTAAAATAAACTAAGCCCATTGGGGTTATTTTTAGCATTTCTAAATAAGCAGCCAACAAGGAAGTGGAGAAATGTAAGCAAAAGCAATAATGAATCAGGACTACGTAAGAGTGCATACATGAAAAATAACTGAGAATTAAGAGTGCTACAAGATTTTTTTAAATTGCATATGGTAATGTAAGGGTTTTTTTAAATGTTCTTTGTTATACCAAGGCAGGGGCAAAGGCAAAAGAGAGGGTAGCAGTGTGTATTCAAAGTTGTGCTGTTTTCCACTCTCTCAAGGACGGCTTTGCTACCCTCCTACACTGGGCAGTGCTACAGTCAGAGTGATGAGTGTCTGTGTTTTCTGCCTGTCAGCAAAGGTGGATCAGGCCTGCATGACCTCAGCAGCTTGCTAGGCCACAGCCAGGAAGGTTTGAATAGCCCCATAGAAAAGTCCAGCGTGACCCACTGCTGACACAGGCAAATCTTTGGGCCTGAACGCAGAGCATCCTGGTTCTCTCTCCGATACAGCTCTGAGCATGGTGGGTTCCTAGCATTACTAAAGAAGATCGCACTTGTTCTTGCACACAAGGTGCAATTCTTTTCCGATGCAGAGTGGAGTGCCACTTGAAGATGAGCCAAGGTACTGTAAAGAGCTGTATCTCTCCCTCATCTGTCTTGCTTCCTTTTTGGGAATGTCACGAATGAATACCCTAAAAGAATTCAGCTTTGTTCTTCCAACCAGCTGTTGCTCAGCTGGAATACTGCAATTGTGAAATCTGCCCTGGAAAATGTGTATTTGTTTTGCTCTGCTTTGTTTTGTCATCTGCCGAAGTAGGAATGCTCCTTTTCATTCTGTGATGGTTGAAAAGAGGGGCTTGGTGTTGGTGTTATATAGCATAATTAGGAATTATCTATATATGTAATGCTGCCTAAGAACTAATTCAGCAAGACCTCTGTTTCCAGAACGCCTATGAGAAGTACACGAATATACAGAATTGAGCTATAAGGTGGAAAACCCTTCCAGATGGGGACTTGTATTTTTTAATATGTAAAGCATTTAGTGACTTTTGAGTGCTATATAAATACCAAATAGCACAGAAAAGATACAAATGGCACGCAACCGACTGTCAGTGCAGCAAATTAAGCTTCTGTTTATAGCAGGAGTGTAAATATAGGGTTAACGGTTAATTCATTTAATGATGAATGTGACACCACTGTGTTATCCTGTAAGAACGTGAATAGAGATTTGCAGCAGACAACATGCTGTGAGCCCAAAAGAATAGGAAACTACTGCCTGCTTTTTTTAAAACTATTGCAAAATGTGGACACAATACTTGGACATAATAGACTGTGTCTGACAACATTTGTACAGTATGTAGCGGAGTGAGCCCCACTCAGCTTCCTATAGTTATCCATATATAGTGACTAAAATTGCAGACACTGAATTAACTCTGAATAACATATGAGCTGGAGTGACAGCCTTCATGTGGTTCTAGAAGGATGAGAATAAGATAGATGGCTGTTTGTGTAGATGTACTAAACTGCAAATCCAGGGGTCCATAGAGTATGGAAAATATGCCAAAAGCTGGGTTGTCCCTTCCATCCCACAGACCCCATTGATTTCCTGCAGGGCAGGAATCCCCCCTTGCAGAGCAGCTTGCAAGATCAGGGTAAATCCATTTCTAGTAACAGACTTTCTCACGCACCCTACCCACTACATTCACGTTTCTCCACTTAGCCCACCTTGGCATCCTTCTGAACCCTGTTATTTTTCAAAACTATTTGGAGAATAGAGAGTGAGTTCTGAATGCCAGCAAGCAACTCTGCCTCTACTGAACCAAGCGGAGAAAGCAGTTGCACTTGAATTTCCCAATTGCCAATTCTCCTTTTTCCTTTCTAACACCAGAATGGAAAGAGCTTTTAGCAAAACTCTCTCTCTAACTTTAGCGGCTGCTCCAGTACCATATAAGGAGACGGGCCATTTCCAAGATCCAAAATATTGAGGGTTTCAGGAGGTTGAGAAAATGGCGAGTTCATATTTATACAGAAACAAGTGGTATGTCAATCCAAATCACAGAACCCGTGCAAAATGCACTCTCTGACAGGAACGCCGCTAAGCAGCGGCGTTCAGCGCCTCGTTTTTAGGCAATCGTCAGGTAAAGCTCCATCTAGAATAGATTGAACTAAAGCAAGATGACAGGAACTGGGAACCCCCAAATCCGAAAGAAATAGCTTTAGGGATGAAAAAGGAGAGTGTGTAAATAGCAAAAGTAGAGGTACCACATTTTGGAGCCAATTGCTTTAGAGAATAAGTGTGTTTTTAAAAACGGATTAAAATAGATTTCTGCAATGGAGGAGCAGGGAGTGCACAAACATTTTTATTTTTGCTCTCAAGCAAATCCCGGGACGTCATTCTCCCCCTGTACTCGGCCTTAGTGAGGCCGCAGCTGGAGTACTGTGTCCAGTTTTGGGCTCCACAATTCAAAAAGGATGTGGAGAAGCTTGAGAGAGTCCAGAGAAGAGCCACGCGCATGATCAGAGGTCAGGGAAGCAGACCCTACGATGACAGGCTGAGAGCCCTGGGGCTCTTTAGCCTGAAAAAGCGCAGGCTTAGGGGTGATCTGATGGCCACCTACAAGTTTATCAGGGGTGACCACCAGCATCTGGGGGAACGTTTGTTCACCAGAGCGCCCCAAGGGATGACGAGGTCGAATGGTCACAAACTACTTCAAGATCGTTTCAGGCTGGACATAAGGAAGAACTTCTTTACTGTCCGAGCCCCCAAGGTCTGGAACAGCCTGCCACCGGAGGTGGTTCAAGCGCCTTCATTGAACACCTTCAAGATGAAACTGGATGCTTATCTTGCTGGGATCCTATGACCCCAGCTGATTTCCTGCCCTTTGGGCGGGGGGCTGGACTCGATGATCTTCCGAGGTCCCTTCCAGCCCTGATGTCTATGAAAATCTATGAAAATAGCTAGTTTTTTTCACTTTTTTTTTTAGAGACTTTTTGTGCTTTCAGAGTTGTCAAATATGCCTGACTTGTAGGATCTGAAAGGTGCTTGCATTCTAGAGCCACAGGGAAGTAGGGGTGGAAGAGACTTCCAGAGGTCATCTAGTCCAACCTTGTGCTTGAAGCGGGATCATCCCTATCCAAACCATCCCATACAACCATAATCTAAACTGTGTAAGACCACCCTCCACCCTGACACAACATAAACCTCTAACACCCTAACCTGCCATTGGTAAAACAGGGGAACCATGGCAGCCAATGTCCTGCTTCTATAAAATATCAGTAATACACTCAAGAAGTCCTGGGTAGAGGGCGATGTCCCTCCTGCCACAGGAAGGCTAAAACCCCCACTGTTCATACCAGTCTGACTATAGGGTAAAATTCCTTCCTGACCCCAAATATGGCGATCTGTCTGACCCTGAGTGTGAGGCTAGACCCTCTACCAGGATGCTCCGGCTTTACTCCTAGCAAGAAAATTGGTACACCCCAGTTGAAGTCTCCATTCTTAGCTATAGCCAACACCCATTGTCTCTGGGGAGGCTTATGATATTCTGATATATAGCAGAAAAAGGTGGTGGGGAGGAGGGGAGCAACTAGCAGAGCCCAGAATCATAGGAAATATCCATGGCATAGCTATTACCTAGGTCATCCTCGACCAGTGGCTGTTCAGCCTCTTGAACACCTTCAGCAATGGAGAGTCTGCAACTACCCTAAGCAATAAGGGTGTGCAAAATGTGCTGTATTCAGTTTGGACTCAGCCCAAATTGGGGATAGGGATTCAATTAGTTGATTCAGATCACTGTCCCAGATTCAATTCTGCCAAATCTGACGATTCAATGCTGATTCGAAATAGACACAGCCTTAAATGTTTTTTCTATATACCTTGGGTTACCAGGCACGGCTTGTGAATGCTGTGATGCTGGGGTGGATGGAGCATCCCACAGGAGTGCAGCCCCCCCTGGTGCTTGGCAGCGAACTCTGAAGTGAACCAGAAGCACTTCTGGTCTAGTTCTGGGTCTGCCAGGAAGCATGCGGGGAGCTCCCCTACCCCCCACCCCCCCCCAGCTTAGCAGTCAGCCACAGGGGGACCCCGGTTGCCCCCTGAGACCCAGGAGGCACCAGTCGCTGAGCTGGGGGGGTGCAGGGAGTCCACCACACGCTCCCTGGCGGACCCAGAAGTGCTTCTGGTCCACTTCTGGGTCTGCTGCCGAGCACGCTGGAGAGCCTCCTGCGCTTCTGTGGGACACTCCGTGCGCCCCAGTACTGCAGCATTCATGAGCCTCCTGCTACCTAGAGGTATGTAGAAAAAACATTTAAAGCTGTCTCTCTGACCGAATCTCTCTGAATCAGTTCGGGGGGCTCTGATTTGATTCAGAGATTAAAGGGTCTCCTGATTCAATTCAGATTTGGAGATTCGGCCACTGAATCGGGCTGAATCTCCGCCAAATTGAATCGGGGACTGAAGCTTTGCACAGCCCTACTAGGCAGTCTAGTCCACTGCCTCACTATTTTTACAGTTAAGATGTTTTTCTGGATATTTAATCTAATCTAAACTAACTTTGCTGCAACTTCAAGCCATTGGTCCATGTCCTCTGCATCAAGAGAGAGAAGGTGCTTTCCCTCTTCTATGGCAGCCCTTCACATATTTGAAGACTGCTACCATGTCCCCTCTTAAACGCCTTTTCTATAAACTGAACAGGCCTTGCTCCTTCAGCCTCTCCTCATATGACTTGCCTTCCAAGCCCTTGATCATCTTTGTTGCTTGCCTCTAGACCCCCTCTAACTTCTCCATGTCCTTTTTTTTTAAAACATGTTGAGCCCAGAACTACATACAGTACTCCAGTGAAGGCCTAACTAGTGCTGGGTAGAGAGGTAACATAACCTAAGTTGCTTTCCTGCTTACATGAATGGCATATTCTGTATTTGGTACATCCACATTGTGTTATGTTGTTGATCACTACAAAGTGCTTACGTGCACAAATGCTTTATAGGAATTTTGGTTTTTGGAGAATTCTGCATCTTGGAAAGTCTTATTAGTTGAACCAAAGGGACTTATTTTCAGGTCATTTTAATTTAAGATCAGCATAACTTTTGTTTATGAGTTAAGTATCAAAAGGTAAGCTACATACCTACTTGAAGTTATAATCTTGTTAGTAAGGAACTGTGTGGGGTATGGCAAGTTGAAAGACTGCATGCAAGGAATGAGAAACATGGGGAAGAGAACTTTCAGGCAACACTTGTACTTCCTCCCCTTCATCTCCCAAAGGATTTTTTTTCCCTCACCAGTGTCAAATGATGATGGTCAAAAGCATTGTTGCTAATTAACTGACCCTTCATATTTAAAACTTTTTTCTTTATACATAGTGTGTGTCCATCTGTCTGCATACGTCGAATGTCCAGCTCAAGATTAATGTGAAAGTTAATAGATCCAATTTTTTTCAAGAAGTGAAATAAGCAACTTTAGAAATATTTTCCAGTCACCTAAAGCAATAATTTTTCCAGTAGTCTGTTTTACACTGGCTTCATTCTCGCTGTCAGCAGAAGGAGATGATGCAGATGAGCGAGAGACTGCCTTTATATATAAAGGCTTCAAAATGTTTCTCTTCAATACATTCTCTGCATTTTTCTTCAAAATCTAATGACCATTCCCAGCATTCATGGAGACTATGAGCTAAATAGCTTTAAATATAAACAACTGCATGAGAAAAAGAAAGAATAGAAATTCAAGGAAGTAACTTTGGGCATTTCATGCCTGCAAGTCATTAAAATGCATTTATTTTAGTACAGCTATTTTCTACAGCTTTTTTGTGTTAAATGTGCACTTTGATAAGAAATCAAGTAATTCAGCTTCTTTTATGCATTGTCAACAATCAGTTTCTAGGCTTGCTTAGAATTATTTAAATACACAATGAAGCCAGATTTTTGCTCCCCTCCTACAGAATTTGTTGCATAGCAGCCCTGAAGCACAGTAGAGCTAAAAGCAAAATATTGAAATGAACAGAACCTTTATTTAATCAGGCTAAGGATTTTTTTTTTGCTTAGTCACACTTCCACTGAGTAATGTATTAGTGGATAGATCTTTTACTGGTACAAACTCAACATTCAGTAAGAGCATCTATTTAGTTGGACTGTATGTATTTGTTTTTTGTTGTTAAAGGTATTTATTAAAGGCTCTGTTTGTGTACTGAACTTGGACTGTTTGTTTCTGGTGGATCATGCAATAAAACAGAAGATTACGATCTCAAAGTCTCACAAATCCCTAGTTAGGTGTAACAGGAAGATAGGATGCTAATTTAAGTAGCAGATGATTTTGATGCAGTGTTGTAAATGGTATATAGCGTGAAATAATATTAACATTTAATTGGATTGAGGTTGAAAATACTGCCTTATTAAAAATGGTCTCTTCCCCCCCCCCCCTTTTTTTAAGGACTAAGGAAATAAGTATGCATAATTAAATATAATTTTTCTGTCCCACAGAAACCATCCCAGTATCCTCCTCTACAGACTGGCAAGCGGCTTTTGGGTTTGGTTCCTCCAAACAGCAAGAGGACGACTTAGGGTTTGACCCCTTTGATATCACCCGCAAAGCCTTAGCAGACCTGATTGAGAAGGAACTGTCAGTCCAAGACCAACCTTCCCTCTCGCCCACATCTCTTCAGAACCCTACCCCACACACTACAACCGCCAAAGGGTCAGGCTCCGGATTCCTGCATCCTGCTGTACCCCCAAATGCCAACTCTCTCAGTAACACCTTTCCAGTCTTGCCACAGAGGTTCCCACAGTTTCAGCAGCACCGAGCAGTTTACAACTCCTTCAGTTTTCCAGGCCAAGCAGCTCGCTATCCTTGGATGGCTTTCCCACGCAATAACATCATGCACTTGAACCACACAGCAAATCCCACCTCAAATAGTAATTTCTTGGACTTGAATCTCCCACCACAGCACAGCACAGGTCTGGGAGGGATCCCTATATCAGGTAGGTGAATCAGGGCAGCCATGAACATGATCCAGTTTGTTCATTCTTTTCAGCTTCTCTGAGCCAGGGTGGGAAGAAGAGAGTAGCCAGCTATCAAAGCTAGAATGCTACTTGTGACTTATCTTAGGATTTGTTATGGGAAAAATATTGTTTTAAATAAGCCCTTTTCAGCTTCTTTTCAGAAGGTTTAATGGGTGCTTAGCCTTGTAACATTGAGCTTTATAAGGAAGGTGGAGTATTTTGTGCCCGATAATTTTATGCCAAGATATTGATTCTTCAGTCTTGCCAGGTTTTGGCCTTCCATGAGAACTTAAAGAAAGCGTAGGCAATGCAACTCCAGAGTTGACATGCATGTGCTCATCAGAGTTTAAAAACATTGTGCAAAATATTCTTTATGGTAATTTCTGCAAACAAAAGGGATAAAGCCACCTGTCGGCTGCCTCAGCTGGCTTGTTCCCTTCCACACATAACAAACTTGCTACGTATTACAACTTTCAGTGCTATTTTATTTCTGTGCTTCAAATGGTTTTAATGTTATGCTGATTTTATACACATGGTCATGAACATTCAGTCAGCAAAGAGGATTCATCCACACTGAGAGGTGCAGTCTGTGATGTCCTGTGAAAACAAATGCTGATTTTAATATGGTAGTTCATGGCTTGATTGCTATGATACTGCAGCAGGCTTTGTAACTGGAGGGCTAAATGGACAAAAATGTTCTGATACACCATTTATTTTCAGGGTTTGGGAACTAGTATGTTCCCATGCCTATTCTAGTAGCTTTGCCTCAGCAGGTTCTTCTGTAGGAAGGAGAGAAATTGAATACTGTTTGTGCATTAAGTTAACTAGCAGCTTAAGAAAAAGGGACTCCAAACTGTTTATAGTCACAGGATGAGAAAAGTTACTCCATGAGACATTGCCACTGTTATGATCTTTGCAGCCATTTTGCATAAACACTTAAATTATTTTAAATCTAAAGATAGAGTGACCTTGGAAGTATGTGCTGTCTTCTTGCTACTTGAGTGTAGACTTTTAATTTTTTTTTTCTTCTTCACTCTCTTTTTTTTACAAGAGGCTTGTCAGGGGCTTAGGGTTTCCATATTTTTTTCTAAACTTCTCCCTAGGGGAAAAAACAGTAGCATTTGTAGCCTAGAATAAATGTATGGAGCTTTTTAAGCTGTCCTCAACAAAGATGTTGGGTGCCTCAAATTAGCACTCAATATGGAGGGAAAAGGGAATTTTAATTTAGACAAATAAGAGAGGTTCCCTACTCTCTTTTTTGTTAAACTGCATTTTGGGGCTATTTCACTAAAATGACAGTTCGGTGAAAGGAAGAAGACCTTTTGCACTAAGTGAAATGTACACTTGAAGACCCTGAAAGCTATTCTTGAGTTCTGACTTGCTATGTTTTGTCCTGAACCAAGGCTAGTGGCAGGGTTATGGTCCTGTTTTATGAACCATTATGGCTAAAATATCCTGGAGTGTTGCAAAGCAGATAATCCCAACTGTGTAATAAGACTTTGATCCTAACTCTGATGGGCTTGCAAGATCATTCTTAAAATCGCATCATTTTAATTGCCTTCAGGCAGATATTCCTTGGCACTTTTTTTTTAACAAGTCACAGCTTTATGCCCACTAGTGCATTTTCCCTGTCTGTTTTGAGAATGCCGGCATAATGCCCATAAATATCCTTGTTCTGATGGAACAGTTTTTCCATATAACTTCCATTATAACTAACTTCTAGTAACAAAACCAGAAAAAATTCTTCTGGAAGTTGCATGGTATAGTTTCTAAAGTAATCGGAACTACCTTTTAAGTGACTTCCTAATTACAGAAGATGTTGTTATTGCCTGGTTCTCAGCTGAGAAGGAGTCTGTTTGCTCTCCAGTAACTGTAGCTAACTGTCCACACCAAATACAATCCTTGGAAGTATCATCTCCATATAAATATACTGACTGCTCCAAATCTGGCCTACCTACTAATACACCAAATTGTTTTGTTAATTTGTTTCTGTACTGGCCAAAATGAGATCCTGGTCTGTGACTAGGAATTGGGAATGTTTCTTCTACAATATTTTGGCTTATTACAGTTCATCTTTAATATTCCAGCTCTTGGCAACTGGCATTTCAGCTGGGTCTCTGAGCTACAGGCCCCTCTAACAAAAAAAAAAAAATCATTCTTTTCAGGCAATTTAGTACATTTAGACATGCCCAAAGAAAGACACAGGAAAGTAGTAGAACCGTGGGGTAGGGTGTGGATGCCTCTACTCGCATAATAATGTTTTATAAAGGATTGCTTAAATTCCTGCAAGGTAAGCTTAATGTGTGTGCTTACAATGGGTTGGCTACTGCATGTTAGCTGTCTGTACTTTATCCTGCCTTCATGGAGGGGCAACCTATCTCCTCCTCACTGTGGGATAAGAGCCAGCATATACTGTCAGTTACTAGAGAGTAGCTGAGATGCTGTAAACTCACACCCAAGCTTATCTTGTGATAACTTGTTCACATGCCCATACCTCTTACAAGGTATAGTTTTTATAAAGGAATATGCCAGCCTGGTTTAATACATCAGTAAAACAGCACCCACACAGAGGACTGTACTGGTAAAGGGTGGGAGAGGAGTGGGGGAAAACTATCCTTAGCTAACAATTACATCAGTATGAAACCTATATGTAGGCTAGGCCTTGAAAGCTGCATTTACACTAATGAACCTATTATTGTATCCTAGTACACTAATTTACATGCTAACAAGGCCCTGTGTGAGAATTTTTTTTTTTTTTTTTACTGCGAAGTGAATTTAATTGAAAAGCATACATGAAATTCCTTTCAGTCGAGCAGAAAGCAACAATAAAGCCCATATCAATATTAGAGAATTTTAGGAAAAATAGAAGCAGCATTTAGTTTAGCAGCAGGACTCCAGCTTCCAGCATTTAACTTACATGGAGGATTAAAAAAGCCAGGGGTGTTCTTGAATCTTGTCTACAAACTCCAACAGCACTGCTTCCGTCAAACTGAATGTTTTCAAGGATCAGTCATTGGAAAATGAACACTTACAGGACTGCTTTACCAATTGGTAATCCTGAATCAGTATTTAGGCTATACATCCAATTAACTTTTTTATCATCTCACTCATTTTCATCTTTTCTTTTGTTTTCAAAATCAAACTGATTTAAAAAGAGACACTTCACAAAACTTTGCAATTTTAAACCAACAGACTATTTTGCTATTCTTGAAGCCTAAAATTGGTTTATATTAATACAAAGAATTTGGACGTATAGTCAGTTAAATTGCTGAACTTTTAGTGCTGAATTTTTGCATGAAGATAATGGAATGCTTTAAATATGGCTCTTTATTTTTTTTCCTATTCTAACGATTCATATTTTATTTTAGAGCTGTAAAGGGAGACCACTTCAGCATTTAACTTTGGTACTCCAGTGCAGTTGCATTTTTCAGTGTTTTAATAAGGTTCCTTTAAGCTACCTCCTACCTAATCTAGAACAGAACTATTTATTTTTCTTTCCAAACCTTGAAAACAGAGCTGTTGGTAGTGGTCAATAACCATAAATAGAGGGATACATGGGACAAGATGATAATATTTTTAAAAAATTTAAAGGACCCAAATTAAAAAAAAAACATCCAGTGTGTATTCGATGGTTTTCTATCAGCTAAAGTAATGCCAGTTAGACTTAACACCTCTGCTGTGATTTACAAATGACATTAGATGGTAATAATACTATGTTTATAATTGAAAGCCTTTTAATACCTATCTAGGCAGTTGGCCTCGTACTCAAATGCATAAAGACTCAAGACTGAAGTGTTCCTGGGTTGCATGTGCCTGTAAAACATTTAATATTTCCTTTAACCCCCTGGCAAACAGATTTGACTGGTTCTAAAATGAATTACTAGAGACTTTAATTGGCTTCACTAATTGTTTTAATGGTATGGCTTCTGATTGCGAGGGTTTTCATGGTGACGTTTTGTTTGGTATAGAGTGGCTGTTTTGGGGGTGAGTGGCTGAAAGACTTGTCGTACAGTTTTAATTCTGTCAAAATACTGCTGGAAAAGGCAGTGGAGTTACTATCTTCATTGCTGGGCAGTGTGATTGATTCTAGAGAAGACTTGTACCTCAGAAAAATATAGGCTTAAAAACTGGTTCTCCAGTGAATCATGGCATAAAATATCTGGTTGGGTGCGTACAGACGTGGAAACAAAATTTAAAAACAGTGCTTTACTTTCAGCTCGGCGTGCCCCCAGACCAAGCACAGCACATGCTCAGAAGAGGAATTGCATCAGTTTGACCCAGCTCACCAAGCATCTGTATAGCTTGCGTGCTTCAGCAGGGCTTTTTGGCGCTTTTATCTAATAACTGATTCAATCAGCTACTAGAAAAAAAGCCCCCAAAAGCCCCACTGAAACACGCAAGCTATACAGATGCTAGAGTGGTGGGTCAAACTGACGTGATTCCTCTTTCAGTAAAGCGCCGAGGTTTCTTGTGTTCTTCCCCCTTCCTCCTCCCCCTTCCCCCCTGTCTGTCAGCACCCTTTAATGGCCCAGAACAGTGCATTAGTTATTGGGAAGTGTTGAAATAGGTCTTGGATTAGTGTTTATGGGCTTTTTGTTTTGTGTTTTGAGAACTGATTGTCAAAATCAAAACGTTTAAAAATGAGACACAGATGTTTGAAACTTGTTTCCCATCTTATTGTCCTTCTTAATACCTGTAGAGAAATTTATTCTTTTATTCCCTTTCCTTTCTGCTGCTTTAAGCTTTGAAACATTAAAACTTATTACATAAGTTGTGGACCTCTCTACATAGCAAAAATGTATGAAAACAAATTTTATGTGAAATGTATAAAGAAAGGTTAATGCACACAGTAAATTTTGCTTGTAAATGACTGCTGCACATTTCCTATCAGTTCTGTGCAAAATAAAGAAATTGGCATTATTTAAATATTGGCTCGTATTTTGCATCTGAATCTCAATTTTCATTTGAGCTTTTCTTCC